GTATCGCGCGGCGCCGTTTGCGCCCTGGCGCTTGACGCCAATGTTGCGGCAGCATCTCAGGCGATTCTGGTGTTCAAAGTTACATCGCCATGTGCTGTCGGGCTGGAGTTCGAGGATGTGTCAAGCAAGGCGTTGGTCTCAACCTCCTAGAAGAAACGCGCCAGCGGCACATCGCAGGCCGTTCAGGCAAACGGATCGCCAATGTCGGACCGCAATTTAATCAAAATTCGGACTTGTGCTCCAGGGTGTCTCGGGCAAAACGCTGGTTTCAGCCTCGCCAGAGAGGCTCGCCAAAAGGCATTCCACGAACCCGCTGGCGCCCATGAAGTGGTGATGTAACCTGGCGATGCCTCAAGCAATTCGCCTGCTTCGGCCACCTGCTTCCGCAGTAATTCGACAGGGTGTTCCCAGCGATGCGCCAGCTTCATCTCTGCAAATGGTTAGGGTCGCGTGGATGTTTTCAACGGTTGGCTTGCTTTGTTGACCATGTGTGTTTTCAGCTACGACCTTGAAGATGTCTCAGGCGAGACGTTGGCGCGACCATTGCAATGGGTCCACATGACGAGGAGGTCTCGGGCGATCTGCCTGGCTTGGCGGCCCGACTGGCTTGCGTTCGCAGCGGGCCCCGAGGATGTCTCAAGCGATGCGATTGCATCCCAAAAGGCGCATGCCTGCGAAGGTGTCTCAGGCTGTCTCAGGCGGGATACCTGTTCGGTAGCAGGGCGCAGGCTACGAGTAGCCCGCCAGGGTGTCTACGAGGGGAGGCGGCAAGGAGGACGGCGACAACGACGACGAGGGTGACTACTAGGAGCGAGGGAAAGAATGACGAACGGAGACGAGCATGCGGCAAAGGAGCAAGAGGAGGTGGCGGAGAAGCAAGAGGAAACGAATCAGGAATCGGAAAAGGAAAATGCCGAATAAGAGCGATAGGATGAAGGAAGAAAATGCAAGGAAGGGCCCCAGGCGAAGACATGACGGGACAGGGGGGCGATGAGAGACAGGGAGAGAGTGCGTGAGAGAGAAAATAACAAAACGAAAACAGCAAATATAAATCACGAGCGGGAAAGAGAGAGAGAGAGAGAGAGAGAGATAGATATACATATATATATATACATATGGAAGAGAAGAGGACGCGGATGATCAGCAGGACACTGCAGAGAAAGGAAGCAAATAAGGAACATTGGTTTACTTATCGGCAGGGCTGCGGGGCGGAGAAGGAGGACAACTCTTGCTGCCGAGCGGGGGGCTCTAGTGGCCTGGCACATGCGATCCAGCTCTGAGGCTCCGGGGTCGAGGCAGGCATTTGCTTCAGCAGCGCAGGGGGCCCAGATCGCGAGGATGTTTTCAGGTGGATTGCGAAGTTCAATGGCCAAACTCGTTTGAGGAGCGTGAAAGAGGTTGCGACGAGTTCCTGGCTGGAGTGCTGGTACCAACAATCTAGAGGGCTTAGATCTCGAAAAAAGAACCGTGGAGGCGGGGGAATTGGAGGAGGCTGGAACCTCGTGAGTGGGTCGCGCTTCCAGGAACCAACATCCTTTGAAGGCACGGTGGCCCGATGATCAATTTAGCATGTGGCCACGCTGCCCCCCGCGCCGAAAGTCGGTCACGCAGATATTCATGGTGGGGCTCGCCAGTGCAGCAAGAAGGCCTACAGAGAGCCCTGAGAGGACCCCGTGTCTTTTCGATGCCGCGACAAGTTGCGGTAACCATGCCCCACATGGGATCTCGGAAACAACTCCCGAATGCCCTTCGCGCACGCGCACGTGCGCGCCAAGAATGATGCGTTAGGCGTGGATGCGCACGGAGACCCCACTGTAACTTGATGCGTATGCAATCTGAAGAGCAATATCATAATTGTCTGGGTGGTCAAGTTCGCGAACGGCAGAAGGCTAATGACAATGAACGGGGTCAGGGTCATGCGCGGCAAAAGGGACGAGAAGCCGCACTCGTGGGCGCATGACGATTTCGGATCGTTTCGGTGGGCGGCGGGCTGCATCTCAATTCATGTCTGGTGGTGGGTTCAGGGCACGCAGTTTCGACTCCGACCGAGTCCATGGCAGACGCCCTCCACGTCATTCGGTCGTGTAGGGGCCATCTCAAATTGTGTTTGCTTACGCAGTGTGGAATCAACCCAAGCGCACGTGCTCCTCAACGGCGGCGGGCATGCAAGGACCACGCGCCAGAGCGGCAACATACATCAATGAACATGCATAGTGCGCCAGCCTACGACGCAACGAAATTGTCGCGACATTCGGGGAACAAGAGCGTGCTGAGATCGCTGTGACCACTCACAACTGCGATGCACCAACAACTCACAAAAACTAGGCAGCGCAACGAACGGGAAATTTGCACAATTAAGCCGTGCAGCAGCGAAAGGACTGGAACGCCAAGAATATATAATCGAGCCCGCGATAAAGAACATGATAATCAAATCGGCCGCAAGAAAGCGTGGTGATGTTCCGCTCTCGTCTGGCCGATCGGGCCGGGGGTGATTGACCTTACCAAGCGCGTGCCCGAGCGTGAAGCAGGATCCTTACACGGCGGCGCGCGCCGCGTGTAGTGACAGAGCGCGAAGCAACATCGTTACTCCCGACAGCTTGCACCACGTATTGCACCCGAGCCCAAGGCAGGACCGTAAGGCAAGATAAAGTGCGGCCTCCATGGTGCCCGAACGTGAGGCTGGAACGTGAGACACGCTAACTTGCACCAAGGATTCGGCCAAAGAGAAGGGTGAAGGCAGGGGAAGGGAGCGACGGATGGGGGGGGGGAGACGGACGCATGGGAGAATAGTGGCATGACCGTGAAGGGGGTCAAGGTCATGACCGGTAGAAGAGCGCCTGACCATCAGGGGGGTGAGGTACCTACACCGCAAAGAGGACTAGACGCTACACCCGTGGATCGATTAACGACGGGGAGATTCAGAAACCCCCAAAATACAAAGAGAGAGAGGGAGAGAGAGAGAGAGAGAGAGAGAGAGAGACAGAGAGAAAAAGAGAAAGAGAGAGAGAACCAACAGAAAGAAAGAGAGGAACACGGGAAAAGGGGATGGGGAAGGATGGCGCCAGAGGAGAGGGCGGCGCGTGAGGCGAAGTGCACGGCGAATGGCCACCGATCTCATTGTCAAGACCCCACAACCTGTATGAGAGCGGTTGCACTGCCTGGATTGGTAAGCGCGTGGTCCAACTCTCCCGCGTGCGCGAGCACGCTGTAACATGTTATGGCTGGTAACCGTTTGGTCGAGACCTCCCGTCTGTAAGGTGGTATGCGCGTCTCTGGCGTCTGTGCGGTGGTCGATGCTGTACGGGAATTTAAGGGGGTACTGGCGCGATCGGGAATTTAAGGGGGTACAGCTCCTGACCCTTGAACCTTCGCCTTGAGCCGATAACGTTAACAAGCCTGCGTCTGCAGAATTCGCGGGGCGCCCATTGCACCGTGAGCCCCGGCCTGGGGAGGGGCGTAACAACATAATCAAACATCAAGCCCCGCTACCAGCATTGCCGCCAACATTTTGTTGAACAGCACTCCATGATCGCCTTCAAGATCGTTATCTCCTTCGCCACTGCAATGGGGGTGGCGCGCCGTCGAGGCCACCGAAACCACCCTTTCCTAATGGTCAGCCGTCGACCCAAATGGGGAGAGCCCCTAGACCGCCTCGCCCAAAACCACTACCAATGCATCTACCGCGAAGCGTTGGCATGAAACGCGCAGCGCATGAAGCAGGAGAAGCTGGGACCGCGGATGCGGACTCTCCGGTCAATTGGACTGTTGGCGCTAATGGAGCGTCCGTTTGCCGCCAGGCATGCGTGTGTTCTTCATTATTTCCTTATTGTCCTCGTCCTCGAGATCATCGTCCCCTTGGCCACCCACTGCTGCTCCTCCTCCTCCTCCTCCTCCTCCTCCTCCTCCTCGTCATCGCACGTCTCCTTTTCCTCCTCCCCTCTCTCCACCTCCTCCTGCGTTTGACCCTCCCCCTCCCCCTCCTGATCCTCGTCCCTCTAATCCGCCAATTTTGCCTTCCTCCCCAGAGAGGGCCCATGAAAACGAAAAAACGTAAAATCACATTCGCTGCGCGGCGAAGCGTTGTTGCACAGATTCCATTGGCAGTCTACACGGTCGCCGTCTGCATAGTCGAATGGACGATTCTCGACTGACTAACGCCCCCTGGGTCAAGAAACGCATAAGCAGAAACCGCCGTGGCAATTTTAAAGGCCACCGCCCTGAACGATTGCAAAGGACCGCCCGCAACCCTGCGTCACCCCCTTGGTGCCGAGAAATACGTGCGCCCACAGACGGCCCGAAGGTCAAACTGCCTCCAAGAGGCGCCTCCCGAGGCGCTCGAAACTCAAACTGCCTCCAAGAGGCGCTCGAAACTCAAACAGGAGAAACAATGACTCCTCACGAGCTGGAGGCGGCTGGGCACCTGCCACTCCTGCCCTACGCGCCCCCCTGTTCTCCAGGGGCCTCGGGCAGTGTGCGGCGCGCGGCTGGTGTCGCCTGCCTGCCGCTTCCGCGACCCCAGAGGCCCAAGACGCACAGCACCTGCCACCCCAGCCCTACACGCCCCCAACACCAACTTACACATGATATTCGCCATTGTTTGCGCGCTGAGGGTTCCACCAAGCAGACTGTTGCGCCATCCATGGGTCGCGCCGTAGGCTGCGCCATCCATAAGTTAACGCATGTGTTGCGCCCATTATCAAAATCCCTGCGCGTGGGGGCAGCAAGAAATAGGTTGGCGATTGGCTGTGCCACAGGCTGCGGGCTGCAAACTGAGATGGATTAAGCCATGAGGTGTTCGGCATGGGCCGCACCGTGAATAGGACGTTCAGCATTCTGAGCACGTTGCCGAGATGTGTTTGACTAAACAGTCCTGTTGCGCCAGGAGGGGAACCATTCGGACCATGTCCAAAACTTACTACATGCATGTTTTTTGTGTTCAGCGCCCTCGTCCGGGGAAACGGTGCAAGACCGCGTGCACAAGTAATACAGCGCTCGCGATGCTACGCCTCGTCCCGAATCCGCCTCAAGGCCGTCATGTGCGCATCCCTTTTCGCAGTGTAGGTTGGGCCGGTGTCTGCTGGCGTCCACAACTCGGCCATCTCAAGCCATTCCCTGACACGGTCAGCACTCGGCATCTTGCGAATTGGGATCGGCAGAGAACACGCACGGTGCAAATAACATTTCACGCCTTGCGAACCACGGAACTGAGGTGTGATGCGTCCTATCTTGTAGCCGTCTCGCCAGAAATATCCATCGCCGTCTGGCCCCACTATGGCAGGAACTGCGGGCGGTGGCACAGGAGGATCGACAGCCGCAGGCTCATCATCCAATTCCGTGGGCTCTACCAACGCAGCGTGCAGCATCGCGGCAGCTCCTGCGACGGGCTCGCCAGCACCGTCGTGTTCGTCATTCTCGTCCGCGTGCACGAGCTCGTCCCAGAGCTCCGCGTCCCCGCAGACAACCTCATGGTCGAGCGTGACCTCGTTGTCGTGGGCAGGCCCGTCAGCAGGTGCATTCCCCTGTCACGGCTCGGTTTAAACGGTCTTGCTGTTTGCTACGTTCTGTGATGGCACATTTGGGCAGTTTGCGAAAAAATGTTTTTTGTAACGTGGTGCCGTCGTTATGCGAATGTCGTGTTGTTGCTTGTTTCCGTAATGGCATCCTGGGGCCTATGGTTTGATTTAGTGAACGGGCAAAAATGTTGTCGGAGCCCACCTGTGCACCTGCTGAAACATCTGCCAGAGCATGCGCAACAACGTCAGCCCCGCGAGAAGGACCAGCGGCCGCGACAGCTGCCAAACCCGCTTCAACTGGATCACCTCCTCTGGATAAGAGGTCGAGCTGCGTCGTGAATGGGTCGAGAGCATGCTTCTTTTGGGGGCGGCGCACCCTGACCCCGCGACCGCTAATCTGCACAGGGACGCCCTCTACGCCAAGAACCTCGCTAGTCACTAGGGTGTGTAGATCTGGAATTGTATACTTGAGCACAGAAGCCGCCCAATCTTCCCCAATGCTTGCCAAATGCTTTGCGAGCTGCCCCCCCGTGCGGACTGCGAGGATCTCGCCAGAGTTCGTAACCCTGCACTCTTCAAAAACGAAATCGACGTGGAAGGGGAAGCAGAGCTTCTCCGCGTCGCCAGCATGCGCGTTGCGGCCCGCGTACTCCTTCATCGCAACCAGCTGCGAAATCGGCTTCATCGTACAAGATACCAACATGCAAAAACATCTGTGCACTACGCGGGGGATGGCGTCGCCTACGCACTCAAACATCACAAGGGTCTCTGCCAGGCAAACTGTCGGTTTGGTCAGTGAGGCTGTCAACTCGCCCAAATAATCGCAAATTTGAGAGACAACCCTGGAACCCACATCTGTCAGGGAGTTTCGACAAATGCCGTCCAGCGAGGTGCAGCACGCTCCGAGCTTGATGCTGCCTCCTTTGAGTTTATCGAGCGCATCCACGTCCGCCTGCCCAATGACAAACCCATGCTTCGGTCTGTACACGTCCTCGTCCCCAGGGAAGCCGCGCGCGGCATGGCGAGCAATGAACAGTTTCATATCCAGGGGTTGCCCTTTAGATCCCATGCCGAGCGGGGGGTCGTACATCTGTGGCTCACTGGATGATGCGGCTTCCCCGTTCTGTGTTGACTGCCTTCCCTGTTGCCTGGCTCGGACTTGGGACTGGTACTTTGCCGCGTACGTGCTCCGAAAGGCCGGATTTGCGTACTCAGCTTTAGCTTTCTCGGTCACATCGTCCATCTCGGCCTGCGTCAAAGTCCTCCCCCCCATTGCCTTTTTAAATGCTTTCATTTTGGCGTTCAATATAGTTAAATAAACGGAGCCACCAGAACCCGAACGTATTGCTCTCGTGTCTGCGTCGGCAGCCGAACCTGAACCCGTCGCATGGTCACACAGAGCGAGCGTTTCAACAGTACCATCGGCAAGAGGAGAATGATGGGCAACGATGTCAGTCCATCCAGAACAAACAGCAGCGGCTTGAAGCCGATCACCCAAGGGTAAAAATTCCGCAAAATGATCTACGAACTGGTCATCGGTAACAGCAGAACCACCATCAAACGGCTGGCGCGTCTCGGAACCGACCTGGCGAGACGGATCGGTCCCACCCCGTTTCAAATGGATGAGGCGCATTTGGTTGATGGTGTTCGCCCGCTGGTGGTGGTGGAAACCCTTGCCTGGGGCCGCTGCCGAAGCCAGCGCAGCCCGTTCATGAGCGTGCCCCCGTTCCGATAACAACGTGGTAAATCCCTTGGAGACGACCCAATTGTAAATGGCGATGTCCGCCACGCCACTCTCAAGCTGATGTTCCCGTGGGAAGCGAGCCTTCAACCCGCGGCCGAATAAAGAAAGACAACACGGTAGTGCATCGCAGAATGCTTTACGAACTTCGGCCTTCTCATCGGCGCTCCACTGGTCAGATGTCAATCGTTGCAGGCGGAACTCGAGCGAACTGTACTTCATGTCGCAGTGGTGGGCCATGCCGGCCGAAAACAATAACACCTGCCTCCGAGCGAAGCGTCGCATTGGTTCCCCAACGTTGAAAACGCCCAACAGGCCCATCAAATTCCAGGGCGAATCGCCGCGGAAGTGCCAGGTCTTGAGCAGTCTGGCCAAACTGCATAAGCAAATCTTCATGGGGCTCTCAAACCTGTCCAAAAACTCAGGCAACATCATATCATCACCTGGACGCATGAAATTGTACTCGAATTTGCTCATGACCTGCGTAGTGATGAAAAGGATTCCCAGACGAGGCAGCGTACGAGGATCGTGCAACCATCGGCCTACTGTGGAAGCCCGCGAAGAATCCCACCACCCATGCGGGCGAACATGGCGTAAAACATGTGTTATTTCAGAGTGGCTGTTCGACATCGGGGGGGAACACTCGAATCTAATCAAGCCCGGCCCCGCGTGGGCGGGACGGATCGCCCCGCGAACGGTCAGGGCGCCAGAGCTGACCCGAGATGGCTCCACTAGGGCATCTGAGCATCTGGGAGGCCAACGTGTCTCCACCATTGCCTGAGGAACCCCAGCGTCGCCGACCCTGGCCGCATCGTAGCTTAAACCATATTCCAGAATTTCCGAAAGCCACCTCGAAGCGGGACGAAATAGAGACGGCACCGAGTTTCCCAAATCGGCACCTAAGAAACCGAATTCTTTCAAACGCATGAAGAACATCAGTGGGCGCGCGTGCGTTTGATTGTCTGTGCTGTTCACTTTCGGCTGTCATCCGAAGCAACAGCGAGGGTCCAAGATTGCCTGAGAGTGGGGCAGGTTGTGCGGGGGGGAAAACAAGGGCCCATGTAAGCTCAGACACTGCCACGAGAATGATCGATATCGTTCCCAACGAAATCCAAGAAAGCGCCGAGCAAGGAATGCGCGGGGCCATCGAATACCGATGCTTATGTCCGCCCCACCTGGGGGGTTGTGCTGGGTGCTTGGGGGGTGTGTTGTGCTGAGAGGTAGTGCTAGGGGTTGTGAGGCTGCGTGGGGGGTTGTGCTGGGGGGTTGTGC